AACAAATTATTTTCTCCACTATTTTGTACATTTTGGCTCAGCAGTTGCAGTCTTCTATTTATTCCCATTTTGGGTCTGAGGTGGATACATTTTCTTCTTTAAGTGATTTACATTAGTCACATGATTCATTCGAATATTTTTTCCTGGCCCTCTAAAATAACATTACATTGTAAATTTGATGAATAAGCGAAATCGAAACTGATCAGCCAGAGCATTTCATAAGTGAAATAAATGCTTATTTTGGTCTTAAAAGAAACAGCATATTTATTTTTACAATTTCCATTCTTGTTTGCAACATGTTACTTATTTTTTACATAAAAATATAACAAACTTTTAAGAAATAAAACTTATGCAACACTTATCAAGGAACACTCCAAGTAACAACGTTTTTAGCTTAAGTCATTGTTGCCACATGGCAAATCTTAATAACTATTCAAAACATTACATCATGTTGCTACTTAGGCCAAATGGCATAATTATTGCAGTTTTCTTTTAGTCATCTTCGGCTATAGGAATTTGGAAATAGGCTTTGAAAAGATCAATTTTGGAAAATATTTTTTTGCCTTTTATAGTGGTTAAAATCATTATTCCTAGGGATAGGATATCTGCCAGGAATAGTTATAGCATTAAGTCTTCGATAGTCTCCACAGGGATGAAAATTTCCATCTCTTTTAGAGACTACGTGGAGAGGACTAGCCCATGGAGATGTAGACTGTCTTATATTGTTTTCCAACATATACTGAAATTCTTGTTTGGCAATCTGTAACTTTTTACTGTCTAGCTGTCTTGGCTTGGAATACACCGGTTGACCTTCAGTCAAAATGTGATGCTTAACATTATGCTTAACATTTGTTATCAAAAGATTAGGTTTTGTAATATTCGGATACTTGGATAACAGATCATGATATTTTAACTTATCATGTACTAAACTTATATCATTCATTTTGGAGATGGATGTAATGTCACACTGAGTAGTAAGGTTAGTTACACCATCGATTAATCTTTTGTTGTTTTAATCAATTAATAACTTGAAATGGTCCAAAAGGTCTGACCGATTATGCCTTTATTAATTTTGGCAATAATGAATGGCCATCAAAAAGCTCGATGAAGGCCAAGATCAAGTGCTAAAAATTTTACCCCATAAATGGGAATTTCTGTGCCATTGGCGGCATATAATTTGAAGTCACTTTGAAGTTTATCTTTTTTTATAGCAGGTAATAAACAAGCATCTGCACTGGAATCAGTTAGAAAATGCAAACCCATGTGTTTGTGGCCATCCTGAACATAACCCGCAGCAAAATTAGCCGCTAATTACACTGATGGTTAAAGTTTTCTGACTTCTTTTGATCCCAAGAGCAGTTAGGTTGACACTTTTCAGGAATGCATTTTGAGCCAAACATGTAATGGTAATAACAATACTTTCCATTTGGATTAAATTTTTTACATTTATGACTTCTACTCTGCTCTCTGTATCTATCGCTACTATGATTCTGAGACCGAGAATGATGAGAAACACTTAAAGTTTCTATTTGTTTTTTCAGAGAAGAAATTTTTAGTTTTAACTCATCAAATGAATTAAAATTTTTTCCAGAGGAATAAATTTCAGGCTTTGAATTCATTTCCATTATTTTGTCGGCCATTAATGCTATTTTGTCTAACCCTTCATCGGAAACCAGTAAAATATTCTTTATCGAGTTGGGCATTTTTTCTAACCACAATGTTTTGAGTATTTCATCTGAAACATCATCAGTAGCGAGCGATCTCATTTTTTGAAGTAACTGACTGGGTTTCATATCCTCAAGGTCAAGGCCAGTGACTAAGTGCTTAATTCGCTCTCTTTAAATGTGTTTAGCAGTCTTTCTTTAACTAAGGCATATTTATTATCAGATGTTTAATGCGTAATGATATCTCAAATAATTTCAACATATTTTGGCTCTAGTTGAGATGCTACATAATTAAATTTGGTACTATCAACAGTGATTACATTAGTTTCGAATTGAGCTTCTATTTCAAAAAACCAAATTTCAGGCTTTTCTGTCCAAAAAGGTGGAATTTCAACACTCACCTTGAAAGTTTCCAGCGTTGATGTTCCTTCCATAATCCAATGTTATGGTCACCAATCTTTTAATGTGGATTTGATGAATAAGCGAAATCGAAACTGATCAGCCAGAGCAATTTCATAAGTGAAATAAATGCTTATTTTGGTCTTAAAAGAAACAGCATATTTATTTTTACAATTTCCATTCTTGTTTGCAACATGTTATTTATTTTTTACATATACAAAATATAACAAACTTTTAAGAAATAAAGCTTACGCAACGCTTATCAGGGAACACTCCAAACAGCGTTTTTCTCTCGACTTGTTGTCACACGGCGAATCTTAATAACTATTCAAAACATTACATCATGTTGCCACTTAGGAGTAATTATATAGAAACATTAAATTATGTTCCACTACAACAATAGTTATACATAATGATATACGTATGTTCTATATATAACCTCTTATGCAAAATCTTTCATTCTGTCAATTATTTCCTTTTTATGTTGATCCATATTGACACAAATTTATTATCACTAAATTTAATTATGCATTCAATAAACAAAACAAAAACAAAATGCATGCTAATTTCACAGATGGTGACATGACTGAACTGACAAAGTGAAATGACTGGCACCGGACAAATAAGTACTTTAAAGAGGGAGGTGGTAGTAGGTACATGTAAGAGGCATATATTTACACAGACTCCAAACAATATGTGTGTTTTACCATTTTTGCTCAAAGAAGTGCATAAATGATTTTTTAGAATTTCTTCATTTTCTCTAGAAATAATGCTTTTTCCCTCCTTTTGGCCCTTTCTTCACTTGAAAACTTTTGACAACTGTAATCTGCTGCTTATTTTCATAAGGTCCTCGAGGTGTGCATTTTTCTTCTTTACATCACTAACATTACTCATACACCGCATTAAAGTATTTTTTGCCTAGACTTCTAAAAAACATTATAATATTTATACATCATAGTATGTGTTTTACTTAAGGATAAACCCTCTTGTGGAGTCTCCTTTATTTTTTTCTTTTTATGAAGACCCAGAAAAATAAACATTTTATCATTAATAAACAGTATATGCAGAGAAAAAAATGCATGCTTATTCCATAGTTTGTGACATGACTGAGCTGAATGAGGTGACTGGTATAGGACAAACAGGTATGCTAGTAGTAAGTGTAAGACAGGTATGCATGAGAAACTTCAAACAACATGTATAGTCACTGGACAATGAGCACCAAATTAAATTATCATCTTTAAACATTTACATTTCTTCATTTTTTCTCAAAAAACATTCATGAATTATATTTTGCATTTAATTGTTAATACTGATAAATTTTAAATTTATTCCCATCTATTTCATAAATATGAAAATTACATATTCCTAATTATGATTAGTCAGGATCTTATCAAACTGGACAATGTTTCAAGTAAAGCCACACAAATTATAACCTTCTTTTAAAAATTATGCTTTTCTCCATCCATTTTCTTGGGCTCATTTCTACATTAAAAAGTGATGAATTGCTTGTAAACCTGACCAAAAGGAAGGTAAAAAAACAAGAGAATAATTCACAGGTGATAAATGATATCAGTTTGGTGGCTAAAACATTTTACCAGTAATGACTATGTAGTTCAGTATCGAGTATTTTCAGATAATTTTTATTCTGTATTTTTAGCAATTTGTGAATTTTGATAATTATCTTCAAAGGAAAATTCAATTTCATAATGCAAACTTTAAATTCTAAGTTATTCATATTTCTTATGAATTTGAAGTTGAAAGACCCAACACTATAATTTTCATATAATTTAAAGTTAGATCTTTTTTCCCCAATAGGCCAATATACTTAGCAACAACATTTATTTAAAGGATACTGAAAGATAACAGTGTGTCTTGGAAAAGTATTATTCTGAATTTAAAAGTATTTGACAAAGCCCAAGAAATATTTTCACCTGAGAAATAGTCATTTTTATGCGTTAAAATATTAAAGGGGTTCTGTTACAATATAAATAATATGAAAAGGTTACATAGTTTAATTTAGCTGGGGAAATTAATTTAGATACCTCTCTAGGTGAATTCATGTGATGATAAAAAGTATAGTCACATTTAATGAAATTCTGCTGATATTTTTGGATAAACGCTTATTATTTGTGAAACGCTTATTATCTGCTTTGTTCTCAATAAATGTTAATGTCTACATTTTCTATATACATATATATATTTTAAAAGTACACTTTAAAAAAAAAGTTCCTTTATAATTAGAATTTTTTTAAATTTATTTTTAAACTGCATATTAATTTAAGAATTTTTCTTATGCCACACAATTTCATCATAGCATTATAGTTGCAAGATTTTTATTGATGAGAAAATCCTGAGATCGAATTACACTCAGAAAATTAATATACTGAAGTAAATAGAAAATTAATTACCATTTTCTTACACATCATTAACTGTGAACAAGTACAATCAAGGCTAAATTTAAGGAATCAGATATTACATTAAAAATTTTCATACGCATTTAGTTATATATTGCAAATAAACAAGTCTCTTATAAGCAGGCTGACTTTATTTACAAAATGTGCAGTTTCTTCCGAAGGTAAGTGCAAAATTTTTATGCCTAAAATTTAAACTAATAAGTTTTTTTTTTGTTTTTGTTAATGAAGAAATGCTTATTTAAAATTAGTAATAAACTGAATTTATTGATTTAATTTTGCTTTTGCTTTGCTTTAGTATGATTAGTAAAACAATAATTTGTGATTCATCATCATTTACGTATAGCTGAAAATGCTGCATACACATGGTGAGTTATTATTTATTTTCAGCTAATACATATGTACCAGATGATTTCACTTTTAGTCACACTTTAATAGACATATATAACACTTCTTATTGAACTCTTAATGTTTTAAAATTTTATTTGTAATTTTATCTGTAAAGCTTATTTAAAATGTTTCATACGTTGGACTAATATTGCACCTAACACGAAGTTCACGGTTGTTTGGATCTCCCAGCCAGGAACCTTCTGGATAGGCTTCTGGAAATAAAATTTTTAAAAATAACAAATTTCAACATATGACTTTAAATAAAATATTTATTATTTCTTTAAATTTAAATAAGAAATTCAGCATACACCGTTTAAACCTTCTGAACATAAAGGGTATTCCAATAAAAATGATATGATTTTAAAACGAAATGGCAACCAATTTAAAATGTCATAACGATCATTAACTTTTATTTGTGTTTAATATACTCCAACAATTCATTGTGACTAAATAAATGTTTCAAGAATGTTAATTTAGGCAAAATATTTTCACGGATGAACCTTATTTCATTGGACATGTTTATGAACAAAATTGTCATTTCTGGTGTGAAAGAAATCCATCAAAGATGCATGAGAAGCCTCTGCATTCACAAAGGGTCTCTGTACTGTAAGATTTATGGTATAGTGGCATCACTGGACCATTTACCATTTCCAAAATAAGGTAAGAGCACCAACTGCAGTGACAGATGAACAATACTGATTATGATAGCAAATATTTTGTGGCCAAATTAAGGATAATTTCACAAAATGCAACAGAGTTGGCCTCTCAGATGTTGTGATTTAACTCCTTTAGATTCCTTTTTGTGGATATTTAAAATCAGTGGCTTAAGTGAAAAAACACACCTGTTAAGACCTTGGGCCCAAGTATAGTGCATACAGTAATGACAAACTGGCTTCTTCAGATCCACTTGTGTGCAACGTGTTTAAGTAGACACTTAAATGGTGTTTTATTTAAAATATAATGTTATAAATTGCACTTAAAAGAATACAAAATGTTTGGTAGCATCTGAAATAGCTTTTATTCCATTTTAAAATCATATTTTTATTAGAAGACCATTTTATAAGGGGCAATGTATATTAAAAAAAAAAAAAAAAAAAGAAAAAGAAATGAATGTTATGAAAAATCTAAGAAGACAGTTCCTGGAAAACAATTTCCTGGCAATCATTTGCTAACATATGCATATGCTGCTGAAGGAAGCAGATATTTGGGTAAAAAAATTATTTTCCTCGTATTACTAATTTCAATTGCTGTTTTAAAGAAATACTCGTATTACTAATTGTTCCCAAATTTTATACTTCATTGCATGTCAAATATGTTCAATAAGTAGTATATGTGAAGGTATTTTGATCTAAAAAATATTAACCCTTAGCACTCCGCATGTTTTTGTACCACTACCTACCAGCAAATCCAGCACGTTTTCGCAGCGGAACGAAGAAGGTGTCTTAATTTAAGTGAGAAGAAATACACGTGCTTGTGAACGCTTTTGATTTTATTTATTTTACACATATGCACCTTCTTCTTGTAAATGAAAAGTATATTTTAAATTTTGTAATTCACCATGGTGTGATATCTTTGAAAACAATCTCCCATGTGCATTCTGGGTTTATAATCAACACTGTCTTCCACAATATCTTCTAACAATGAAAAATCAAACACATCTTCACTATCACTCAACTCTATATTCTCATTACAATAATTATTTTTCTCCATGTTGCTAACCATAAAATGGGTCAAATAATGTTTCAATTGTAACAGTAGCAAGACTGAGCACATTTTAACTACAGATAACAATTGACAACGCCGACGATTCCATAACATTTTAAGCCTAATCATGCTAAAAACATTGGGCTCCACAGCGGAACCTACGGAGTTACGGAACAAATGACAGACGGCTCCATAGCGGAGACAACAGAGCACTAAGGTTTAAATAGCAACAGTCACAGAAATACAAGCTAAGGATAAATCATACAGCAGAATTTGGATTTATCTTACAAGTTATAACTTGTGAAGATTATTCAAATTTCATTTTAAAATGTCAGTATGCTTACACTGATACATTATAATATCAATAAATTTTAAATACTGGTTTAAAAAAGAGATATATACATTATACACTCCTTTGCCATTTTATACTACTGCATCAATTAACTCAGTTTTCAAAATTCATATTTAGTTACGCTGCATGCCAAAATTTAATAAAAAAATAATAAATTAGCTTTTGTTATCAAATATTACCTTATTCTATTACTCAGAATATATATATTATTATTGGCAGGATAATTGCTACTTTATTGGTCTTTGGATAAATAAATATTTTACTTTCATGTTTAGGAACACCTAGTCTTTAAATATTTCAATTACACAGTAAATCTACAAAATTTTATGATTAATTTTTTCACCTAATTCCAGCAAACTTGATAAATAATAATCGAATGTATTTACTGTTATGACATTTTAACTTGGTTTTTCTAATATATCTTCAGCAGACAGAATTTTCTGTGAGTTATTCATTTGTTTTACTCTGGTAAATATCAGCTGTCATGGATTAGAAATTAAGTGTGAAAAATAGTAATTAGAAAGTGTGTTAGCAAATAGTTACGTATGAAAATTAGCAAATAGACACTTGAAATCTTACGTGAAGAATACAGTGATCAAATATCAGTGTGATGCAATGTTTTTTGCTCATATGGACTATTTCATGATTTTTATGATGACCTCCAAAATGATTACCAATGGTAGTGCTGAATGAATGGAAACATTAAAAAAGTTTAATAATTGTCACTGAAAAATGGTAATCTCTATATTTAAATGATAGCCAATAGGCTTCAAACAGAAAAAAGACACTGCTTACAAAATTATTGTGGAAGATTTTAAGAAAAGAAATTTTTTTTCTTATTTTGGCCTTCATACATTGCCTGCAGAACAGAAAGATCTTTCTGCACGTTATGATCTGACCTAATGATATTAATTAAAAATTCTTTTGAAACAGATTATGATTCACTATGAAATCTGGTTCTTTGCTTAGGATCCTAAGATAAAATGTGACCATCCATGTGAATTGTAAAAGGTTCACAACAGCCACATAAATTTCTATTTCAGAAATCTCAAGTAAAGACTAAGTTGGTGAACTTTTCTGAATGGAAAGGATTCACAAAGAACTATCTTTGAGGAACAGACAGTGAATTTCATTTCATAAAGACATGAATGGATTTCTGAAGAGAATTAAGCCCCTTAGGCCTAAAAAAATTAAATTAAAAAACTGGTTCCTGCTGTACAAATATTCATTGACACAAAATTCCATTCTTGCCAGACAGTTAAAATATTACAACTCTATATCATTCCTATTATTCACCAGATTTTGCACCAGTAAACTTCCTTCTAAAGTGAGGTCATGCACCAAATTTCAGTATCTTTATAATGTTGAAGAGATTAAGAAAATCATGACCAGAGTAAGAGTAATCATAGATGAGTTTCAAATAGAGATTTCAAATTAGCTATTTGAATATTCAAATATACCAGATTTACAAGCTCACACAATACTATTCTGTGCATTCCTAAGAACAACTAGGACAGTCTCTGAAATCTTGTTTCATTTTGAATAACATTCTGAAGTTTCAAAACTGATAAGTTCTTTAAATAAAAAATTTCAGCAAATAGATTTTGCATTTTTTAATCAAAAATTAAAAACAAACTGATGAATTTCAAACAATATATACATCAAAGAAGTCATGATAATAAAATATTAAGTAATGCAAACAAAACTTTATTGAAGGAAATGATTTTTCAGTGGATTGTAAATGCACATAACTGCATTTATTATGGATGACTAACTTGCCAGGTTAAAAATGCTTCATTGCATTTGCAGCATGATTTTCTTGCTCTAGGAATGAAAACTTTTTTTTAGTTGAATATTTTATTTTTGACAAAAGTATTTATAGCAAAAGGAAAATTAGGTGAGTGCTTATTTAAAAAATAAAATTAAAAAAGTATACACTTTTAATATGTTTAAAATTATTTGCACTACCTTTGGAAATCATAAGAACTTTCCTTGCTGAAACATCGTATAATTTTTTTTTAATACTTCCATATTAAGCAATTTTGGGAAATTTAGTTGACATCAAGATAACTTTGACAATAAGCTTTTAATGTTAATTTTGTCTGCCAAACTACTTATCAAAGATTGGGGTTCTTCCTCTATTTTGAAAAATTTTGAATAATACAAACTTCTCAAAGATACAAGTTCCGATCTTTAAAAATTTTACCCATTATGCAGAATTCTTTTTGGCAAAATTTTATCAATGTTAACTGCCTGGAAGCAAAGTAAATAAAATCATATACTTATGATTAATGGCTTCAACTTCCTTTGAACGAATTTCCTACTTTCATTCTTAATACTAGTCTCCACTTTTTAGTCTTCCATTTTCACAACATTCTCCTTTAGGAATACACTATTTCAGGGCTTCTTAAACTTTTTTCAGTAACGACCCCTTTTTATCACTGAGATTTTTTTTGCGACCTCAGGACCCCCATAGATATTTAAGAAAATTTTGTGGGACCCCATAAGCATTGCGTAAATCTGATACATGCATGAGTGAAACTGTCAATTTTTTCATTTTCAAATTTTAAGACATAGAACAATGTGAAAATTTTAAATAATAACAGACGAAATGACAGCATCATGTGCAAAGCAAGTAAAATGAACGTTTATATTATAAAAAGAATGTGTTGAAACATTTTTGGAATTTGTTATTCGGAGCATTTGGTAATTGTAAAATTATTATAATAAGTCAAAGAAATATCAAAACTACTAAAATTTGTGGCGATCCCCTGCGGCAGGTCCCGCGTCTCGCAGTATAAGAAACTCTGTACTATTTCAGTGCTCTCACATCAACCACAGTTCCCAATATCACTTAATATATGCAACAGATTTTAAATACATTAAAAGTTTGGAAAATTTAAGGTTGAGTAGCAAAATAAAATTTAAACACAAGATTAAAAATATGCTTTGCAATATAAACTTTTTTTTTTTTTTTTTAATAAAATGACAAAGTAACACAGCAAGAATGAAACATATTTTTATATTTATGCACAGAAAAAAATCCTTTCCTAAAATTATATGTAAAATTAACAGCAGTTTTAAGTTACTATAATAACGTTAAAATTTAAAAAAAATTACCTTCATCATTTGCAGATATACATGAAGTGTTACTAGAAGAACAAGGTACATCTAAAATAAAAAAGTACATAACATTTATACATAATGCTAAAATGCTGCAAAATAAATGTTTAATAAAATGCATTCTTAGTAAATTTCATATTAAAGGCTCTATGAGGTAAGAGGCTAGAGAAAATAATACAAATAAATAAAATTGTAAATTTTCAAATTCTAATAATTATGTGATGAAAAAGATGTAGCAATGTTAATGGCATAGAATGCAGATCCCTACAGCACAGAAAGAATTCTGGCTGTGTATAATGCTAAAATATTGAATCTGTAATGACTAGGAAACTTGGCAATTGAGGTGGATTAAATTTCATTTTTATTCCAATCAACATTTGTGGCCACAATTCATTTGACACTCTAATCATGCATATTCAAGATCACTTACATTTTTGATACTGTTGCAATAGGAAGAGAGCAGAGCAAAAAATTCTTAATGCGATGAGAGGTAGAAGCTAACGTGCACAGTTATGTAATATGGAAGCTCACTAACAGAAGGTTTCAGTTTAGGTTACTTATTAAAAGAAAGATTTCAGTTCTCGAAATTTTGAGTTCAGGTTCTGAATTAGCTGCATCATCAATGTTATGCAAACCATGTGGCTGATCTAGAAATGATGCAGTCCAGAAACGTTATAACTATTTTTAGAATACAGAGGAAATACCCAAATTAAAAATGAGGAATGAAGAGGTTATTGCTAAATTAAATTAAAAAGCTGATTTACTCATTTTTTTTATTTTACACACACACACACACATATTATATATACAGGGTGTTTCATAGATCATGAGGCAAACTTGGAGGGGTGGTGGAGCGTACTAAAACATGCATTTTTTGTATAGGAATGGGGTCTAAAGAGACAAGTTAAGGCAGGAACGCAGAAAAACGATACAAGAGGAAAATGTGTTTATGTACAAAATCAACACAAAGTGCTTCTTTGCAGCAATACAGTATTTGCAATAAATGTTCAAAAAAAGGAACAGTAATAGGAACTACAGCTGTGATTGGCTGGCAATGCAGCGGTAGAGGGCGGTAGTGAGCTGGACAAACCACGATCTCATGCATCAGAGGGTCATTCGCAACTCTGATGTCGAGGGTGATGGGCAAGTTTACGCACAGGGAAAAAGCTGACATGCATATCATGTATGGTGCTGCTAATGGGATCGGCAGAGCAGCGCTAAAGTTGTACCAGGAAAGGTTTCCGAACAGGCGTATGCCGAAGCACACAATATTCGAGAGGTTGCATCGGCCTCTAAGTGAAAATGGGTCATTTGAAGCCACCTCTGACACTAGGAGTGGAAGAAGTGCACAACAACGTCGCACTGAAGAATCCATCTTGAACATTGTGCATGAATCACCTTAGACAAGTACAAGGGCTATTGCACTCGTCTGCAGCCGAGTCATTCCACCGTTTGGAGAGTTTTGCATGAAAATAGTTTGCACCCATACCAATTGCAGAGTCCAAGCCTTGCAAGAGACAGATTACTCTCTTAGAGTTCATTTCTGTCATTGGTTCTTGCAGCAATGTGCAGCACAGGTGGATTTCCCATTGGATGTGCTATTCACGGATGACGCAACTTTCTCACAGGACGGCATCTTCAATAGCCACAACATGCACGTTTGGGCACATGACACATGTCCACATACATTCCAAACCCGCTTCTCTGTGAATGTGTGGCCGGGTCTTGTTAACAATTACCTCATAGGCCCATACCTCTTATCTACATGTACAAATGGCTTGTGTTATAATTTTCTGCAAGAGGTGCTGACGGAATGCTATAGGACGCTCTGGCTGTTGTTCATGATCACATGTGGTTCCAGCATGATGGTGCACCAGCCCATAACAGCATGCGGGTCCGCAATTATTTTGGGACATTTCCGAGCTGATGGATTGGATGTGGTGAACCCGTTCAATGGCCACACTGCTCGCCAGATTTAATTAGCTTGGATTTTTTTTATGGGGCCATCTGAAGAGCATCATTTACGAGACTCCCACTGACTCACTGGAGGACCTCATTTCCGACTATCCATTGCGGCTGCAAGCGTCTGCGAAATGCCTGTCATTTTTCAAAATGTTCGTCAATCCCTTCTGCGACATTACCAAGCATGTATTACTGCTGATGGTCGTAATTTTGAACATTTATTGTAAACACTGTTTTGCTAGAAAGAAGCACTTTGCTTTGATTTTGTACATAAAAAAATTTTTCTCTCGTGTCGTTTTTTTGCGTTCCTGCCTTAACCCGTCACTTTAGACCCTAGATTCCTATAAAAAAATGCATGTTTTAGTACCCTCCACCACCCCTCCAAGTTTGTCTCATGATCTATGAAACACCCTGTATATCTAAGATATAACAAAATATGATGGCTGTTTTAAAAAATAATTGGCAACCTCAAAATTAACATTCTAAATTTGGTGCTCCCCCCCCCAAATTCACCTATTCTCCCAAATTCAAGATAATTCCAAATTACATAACACTGCTTGAAAGAGGACTTAAAAGACTTAAAATAATATTAACCAATCATAGCTTAGAACACTCTCTACACCTACGAAGTATAAATACTGAGTCAGAAACACTACATTGCCCTTCCCCCCCGACTTCTGCCATGCAAAAAACTCTGCGTCGCTCCTACTTCCCTGCTTGAAATGAATTCGCAGCTTTTTATCTATGTATATAAAAATTATTTGTATTCAACTAAGATCGAAAAGTTATTTGTCTGCCAAAGAAATAATTTGTGCTGTGCCTAAAAATAAAGATGGTGATTTGCCAAAATTAGTTTTGTCAACGTCTTATTTCTGTGAGGCAGATTAAATACAGTACAAAGTCTTTAATCCGGACCTCAAAGCTATAAACTTTATGTGCATAAGTAAACACATGCACGTAAAAAGAAGAGATACGGTTTATAAAAGAGAGAATTAAGAGAAAGTATTAGCACAAAAAACAAAGCAACCTAACCATTTGAGTCCGGCAAAGCGCTATCTCGCTTCACTTGTCGTATGCCAAAAATACGGCGCAGCGCAATAGCATTTCTTTTGTTTTGTATCGAGAATGCGAAGATGCTGCTGTTCGTTAGTATACTTTATGCAATTATTGAGAGCAGTTGTAGTGATATCAGTAGCAGATGTTTTATAGGAATTGGAAATTGTTTTCATTTTTTTACCTAGTGTTATACTGATAATTACGAAATAACCCATGTTAAGTTCTGATTCGTTTGAAAGTGACTATATTATGAGAAGTGATAATGAAGAGTATAGTAATGACCTTGAGAGTGATAGTGGAAATGACATCCTCATTCGTTCTAAGAGATTACGAGTTATTAGTGATAGCAGTGATGATGATGAAGTAACTGCAAGTACCTCCGATGACGATATTATTGATGAGTTTTTACCCGTGGATACAATTTTTTTCAAACGAATCGAATACATTTTCTGAAGTACCTGGACCAAAGCATGCCCCTCCTCCTAATGCGAACCAATTGAATATTTCAATAATTTTTTTTTTCAATTTTCAATAATTTTTTCTCAAGTATACTAACCAACAGCAGCGTCGTTGCATTCTTGGTACAAAACAAGAGAAGCACTATCGCGCTGCGCCGTATTTTTGGCATACGACAAGTGAAGCGCTCGCCGGACTCAAACGGTTAAACAACTTACATTGAAAGAAATGTTTAATAAAGTAAACAAATAAATATTAAGCTTTTTTTTTTGTAAATTTTGATACCCTTTAGATCATAATTGCTCTTTATTTCATAAATTTTGGTTTCATATTTTTAATTGTATAATTTCTGCATGCCATCTCACGAGATTTAAATTGATGATCTATAATCCGGAAAAACCCCTAATCCGAAATCGCCGAAGTCCCAACGAGTACGGATTACGGACTTTGTACTGTATTCATCTTTATTTAAAAAAACATGTTGCAGCCACAAGCAACTTGACACTAATTGATGCCTATTTCAAAATATTTAAATTTTGATAGTTTTGGGGTAAAAACAGAAGCAGCAAGAAGCAGTCTATCTAGGCCGAAGTGCAGAAAGCAAGTAAGTTGTGGTCAGGATGAAATTTTGATCAAGAATTAGTTAGTTTTGGTTCTAAATGAATTTGATTGGATAATTAATACTGCTGTAAAATTATGATTAGCCATTTGAGTTTCAATTCTATTCACATTACTAGCATTATTAAGAGCTACATAGCAGTGTTGTATTCTTGTCGTCCATATCGCAGCCTTATATGAAAATAATTAACATGGTTCTCAATAGTTTTAGGTAAATAACAATGCCAAAATTTGTCTATCTTTAAACATGATTTATTAATCATTGTATAATAAAGAGAATAAAGAGATCTGCCATCTTGATATTGGGGGAAGTTGACAGTTTTTGGTCAAAAAGGGCCACAATTTAAAATAAATCTTTTAATATTATAAGATTTTATGGATACTGATTGAAATCAGATGGATATCTTTCATTTTATACATCTGGAAAAGTGATCAGAACTTTTCTGTCCTTTCGTTGTCATTTTTGATTGTAGTTGAAATATTTTCCGATTTTCGCCTACTGCAGTGACATCAGTTGAAATATTTTCTGTTACATTTAAACTGATGCTTGGGCATCAGCAAAATAGGACATAATAAACCAACAGGATCAAATACCTTACGAGTGACAGAAAGAATTATTCTTTTGGACAAAGTTTCAAATTTATAGCTGTCTAACCAGTCCAGATTTATCATCAGCGTATCTTTTTTTCTATCCCATAAAAGTCCTAATACAGAAGTAAATGGTTGAGGATCATTATCATTGGTGTACTGCCAGTCTCTCAAATTGAATTTTCCTTCACTCAGTCTATGTCTGCTAATTATCGATGGCTGCTCTGGCGAGCTCTATTCGCTTATGCATTTAAAAAAAAAAGAAAAAAATTACGCTACCAGCCCGATGTTTTTCCGGTAAAACAAAAGGATGTTTAAAGTTTTCTGTATCCTTCTGAAATGTAATTTTTGTTCGCAGTCTAATAATT